TGTCCTAGTTGGTTTTTTTGGTGGTGGTGGCCGTTTTTGTTTGTTTTGCCGACTTGACAAAAGCTAGACACATTTGGGAAGAGGGAACCCTAATTGAAAAAACAACAGATTCGTGATTGTTGTGAAAGGCCCTAGTCTATTGTGGGTGGTGCCATCCCTGGGGGGTGGTCTGGGATTGTAAAAGAAAGCAGACTGAGCAAGCCATCAGATACCACTCAGTGAGCATCATTCCACCATGGCGTCTGATTCGGTTCCTGTCTTGAGTTCCCACCCTTACCTCTCAGTGATGGAGTGTGACCTGAGAGTTCTAAGAGGAAATAAACCCTTTCCTCTTGAACTGCTTTTGGTCATGGTGTTTTATCACAGCAATAGAAACCCTAATTAAGATACTGAGTAACTGCAGGTGTGGTTGTGTACCCCTTTAATCCTGCACTTGGGAGGCAGAGGCAGACCAGATCTTTGTGAGTTTAAGGACAGCCTGGTCTACAAAGCCAGTTCCAGGACAGCCAAGGCTTAAAAAAAAATACTGAATAGCATGGACCTGTCTCAGAAAAATAAGCCTACAAAATGGCTCTGGGCAGGTGCATTTGCCACCAAGCCTCATGACCCTACTTCACTCTCCAGGTTCCACCATGTGGAAAGAGGAATTGCTACAAGCTGACCTCTGACCTCCACACACACACCATGGCACAAACCCTGGAGTTGGTGGATGAGTAGGGAGGACTGAGGAGGAAGGGTTTAAGGCAGTCTTCCCATTTAGGATGATAAAAGGGATTTGAAGCCTTTTTACCAACCCAGGTCTTCAAAAGCAAACAAAAAGCGCATACATGCTGGCTTAGTAGTACACTCCTGACTCCCAGAATTTGGGAAAATGAGACGAGGATCAGGAGCTCAAGGCCAGCCTGGACTACATAGCAAGATTTCCAAGCCAGCCGGAGACTCTTAGCAAGACCTGTATGTGTGTGTACACATACATACATACAATATATATAATAAATGAACCAACAACCAGAGAGTCTGCATGGGACTGACCCAGGCACTCTGCATATGTTAGAAGTTGTGTGGCTTGGTCCCCTTGTGGGACTCCTAACAGTGGCAGCAGGGGCTCTCTAACTCTTTTTCTGGCTTTTGGAACCCTACTCCACATACTGGATTGCCTTGGCCAGCTGAATACAAGGGGAGGCGTTAGTCCTACTAGAACTTGATGTGCAATGTTTAGTTGATACCATGGGAGACCTGCCCTTTTCTGAACACAAAAACAGAGGCATGGTGGATTGGGGGAGGGGAACAGATGAGAGGTGGGGAGAAGGGGCTGGGAGGAGAGGAGGGAGGGGAAACTTCCACTGGGATGAAAATTTTTAAAAAGGAATGCATAAGGGAGGGAGGGGAACTGGGGCTATTATGTAAAATGAAAAATTAAAAACAAAAAGAATACATAGAATAAGGGCTGGGGCGTCACTCAGTGGGCAGAGAGCTTGGCTGGCATGCACAAAGCCCTGGGGTCCTTTCCAGCACCGCATAGACCAGAAGCTGCGGTGCCCACCTGTGATCCCAGCAGTTGGGAAGTGAAGGCAGGAGCCTCAAGAGTCCAGAGGTCATTGTCTGTCACATAGTGAGTCTCAGGCCAGTCGGGACTACATGAGACTCTTTCTCAAAAATAAACAAGCAGGGCGGTGGTGGCGCACACCTTTAATCCCAGCACTCAGGAGGCAGAGGCAGGAGAATCTGTGAGTTTGAAGCCAGCCTGATCTACAGAGTGAGTTCCAGGACAGCCAGGGTTACACAGAGAAGCTCTGTCTTGAAAAACCTAAATAAATAAATAAACAAATTTGAAATGATATAGAATGAGACTCAAAGGGTTTGCCTAAGTGAAAAGTTTGTCAGTCCTCAAAGGCTGTTCTGCCCTTTCTGAGGTTAAGTTCTTCCCCTAGAGGAGGACATGGAGGTTCAGAGCTGGGGAAGATGAGGCTTCATGGGGCACGGGGCACAGGAGGGCAGCAGTGTCCGGGAGCTGCCTTGGGGCTGGAGCGTATCAGGGCCAGCCTACCCTAGGCTTGCTCCTCTCTCCTCACTTCCTGGGTGGGGATGGATGGCCAGAGGGTGGCTCCTGGCACCTAGAGTTCAGGAATCTCAGGCATGTAATTCTGGGCCCAGATAGAGGAGGGGGCCTCCCTCCTAGGGGCAGGGAGTTAGGTGGTACCACAGTCTAGACATCAGCGCTGGGATGGGGGTGGCTTGAGGCCATGTGAAGGCCTATCCTAAATGTTCTCTTTCCCATAGTTCTGGAGCAGAGCCTATACAGGAGCCCACCTAGCCCCTCCCCGTGATGGGCTGGATGCACTGGGAGGGGGAAGGGGTGAATTCATATCTTCAGGTCTTTCCTGCTCTCCCGGCAGCCCAAGTAACCAGCAACTGTAGGCCAGAGGTGTTGGAGGTGGGGCGTAACAGGATCAGCCCTAGTTGATCCTGTAGGTAAGTGCCAGGCAGTCATGGGGCTCACTCGGAGTAAGAAGCCTCACCTTCGGCCCCTGCTCCTCCTGGTGCTGATATGGCTCTCCCAATGCCTGAGTCTGGGTGAGTGGAGCCCCCGAAATTGATGCCCTTGGACCTGGGGTACCTGGACCCCATTCCACCTCCTGAACTGGGAGAAGGGGTTAAGGGAGGTGAGGCGTACAGAGCTGACACGTCTGTCTTGCTTCTCACCTTTGTCCCCCATGGTTACAGACCTGATCCCCTACAAGCCACAGATAACAGCCTGGGACCTGGAAGGGAAGGTCACAGCCACCACTTTCTGTCTGGAACAGCCTCGGTGCGTCTTTGATGAGCATGCCTCAGCCAACGACACCATCTGGCTAGTGGTGGCTTTCAGCAATGGTGTGTGGTGAGGACCTGGGCCTTGGGGTGAGGAGCATAGGCTGAGAGGAGCCCTGGGGTTCTTGGAGGATGGCAATGTTGACTTTGTCTCCGGAGTCAGGGCTGGACAGCTTCTCCCCCCCTCCCCTTTGTTTTTTAAGGCAGGCTCTCCTGTAACCCAGAAGGAAGGCCTTAAATTTGTGATGTTGCGGCCTCCACCTTGCAGGTTCTGGAATGATGGGCATACACAGCCACACCCACACAGTTCATGTGGGACTGGGTTTGTGCATTGCTTGCCCTTTTGAGACACTGGTCACTCTAGGATAGTGGTTCTTCACCTTCCTAATGCTTCGACCCTTTAATAATACAGTTCTTCATGCTGTGGTGACCCCAACCATAACATTATTTCATTGCTACTTCATAGCTGTAATTTTGCTACTGTTATGAATCCTAATGTAAACATCTGATAGGCAGGGTATCTGACATTTGCCTCGTGTGAAAGGGTCACGACCCACATGTTGATATCTACTCTAAGATATCCATCCCATATGTCATGTCACCTGGAGAAATCAGGTCATGCCCTCTGCAGATCGAGTCTTGGAACAGAAGCAAGCAGCTGCTCTCTATTTCTTTAAAATAATTGTTTTACGCATGTGTCAGTCAGGGGTGTTCACATGGAATTCAGAGGTCAGTTTGGGGGAGTCAGTTCTCTCCTTCCACCATGTGGGTCCCGGGAGGACCAAACTCAGGTCATCAGGTTTGGCAGCAAGCAACTTTGTCACGGAGCCATCGCATCCTCCTGTATGCATGTACTTAACACAGCTACAGCCATAGCCCCTGCTCTTGCCCTTCTGACTCTTCTTCCTCCAGCCTCCAGGGACTTCCAGAACCCACAGACCCCTGCTAAGATCCCGACCTCCCCACAGCTGCTGACTGATGGCCACTATATGACATTACCCTTGTCCCTGGATCAACTGCCCTGTGAAGATCTGACAGGGGGCAGTGGAGGTGTCCCTGTGCTTCGGGTGGGCAATGACTTCGGCTGTAACCAGGAGCCCTATTGCAACGCTCCCCTCCCGAGCCAGGGGCCTTTCAGGTGGGTTTTCAGGAGCCCCTGCCCTGGGATTGGAGGACAGTTCAGATCCTGCCCTTTCTGGGCCTTCTGGATGCTGGTCAGTCATAGCTGTTCCCCTGTGGTAGCTGTAGTTTACTTTCTTTGCATAGTGGGTCATCAAAAAGGCCTTTCCATAAACTGGTTATAGTGGCCGGGCAGTGGTGGCGCACGCCTTTAATCCTAGCACTCGGGAGGCAGAGGCAGGCAGATCTCTATGAATTCAAGACCAACTTGGTCTACAAGAGCTAGTTCCAGGACAGCCTCCAAAGCCACAGAGAAACCCTGTCTCGAAAGACCAAAAACAAAACAAAACAACAACAACAAAAAAAGTGGTTATAGTGATCCCAGCACTCTGGAGGCAGAGACAAAAGGATCATAGGTTCAAGGCAGCCACATTATGAGTTTTAGGCAAGCTGCTAGTAAGACTGTGTTAAAACAAAAGGTCATCAGGCTGGGGATGTAGCTCAGTTGCTAGTGTTTATTTTGTATGTATGAAGCCCTGGCTGCCATCCCAGTACAGCACCCTATGGGAGTCCCAGCACTCAAGGCAGCAGAGCCAGGAGTGTAAGTTATTCTCCACTGTATATTGAATTCCAGGCTAGTCTGGGCTACAAGGAAAATGAGAGTCCTTTCCAAATGTGTCCTAAGAGGGGAAAGTGGCTTTCAGGATGAGGCCACTGTTTCTGGTCATAAGCAGATCTGACAGAACCCATGGTGTAGACTTCCCAACCCATAGTGCTGATGAAGAAACTGAGACCTGTTGTGTTAGAGTTCAAATAAGGTTCTCTTCAGGGTTCATCATGAGATGAAGATCCCAGGAGAGACTCGGGAGATGGATCTCTGTCCGTCCAACTTCCCGGCTCCATTACCAATGCTGGCTTTCACCTTTTTTGAAGCTGCTACACTCCACCCCGTTCCCATCAGCCACCAGTGCTGTCTTCCCTCCATCTACTCTACTGGGCCCTCCATGTTCTCTTCTCAGAGCTTTCACTCCTGAAAGATAGCATTGCGCCAAGTCCTCCCCATCCCTGCTGTCCAGGCCCTCAAGGCTCGAAGCAGGCCCTGACCACACTCCTAGCCCCACTCCTATGCCTTTGCCAGGGCTCTTAATTTGAGGTCTGCCTTCTTGTCACGTGGGTGTCTCCCATAGGCTCCTGAGACTAATACTTCCATTTTGTTGTATAGACATTAACCCCAAGAGCTTCTGCATTCTAGGGGTACCTTACCACTGAGCCACACCCCCAGACCCTCACTGGGAGATTCTAGGCTAGTGCTGAATTCTCAACACTTTTTTTTTTACCTTTGATTTTGAGACAAGGTCTTGGAACATAGCCAGGCAGGCATTGAACTTAGGAATTCTCTTCCCTCAGCCTACAGAGCACCTGGAATGTTAGGCCTGTGCCACTATGCCCAGCTTGAGTCATTCGAGTCTTACTTTTGTCCCCATTGTTTTCCTGTCTCCAGCGTGAAGTTCCTTCTGATGGATGCCAGTGGCCCACCCAAGGCTGAGACAAAGTGGTCCAATCCCATTTATCTCCACCAAGGTAGTGCTGGGGTGAGGGATCAAAGACTGATTTAACTCCTACCTGAACTTCATGCTGTAGAGTGGGTCCTGGGTCAGATCCATCACAGTGGCATCAAACTTTTTTTTGGTTTTGTTTTCAGTACTAGACACTGAATCTTATGCATGCCAAGGAAGTACTCTACCACTGAGCCATGCATGACCCTAACTACTCACTGGGGGATTCTAGGCAGGGGCTCTACCACTGAGCCACACCCCAGCCCCTCACTGGGGATTCTAGGCAGAGGCTCTACCACTGAAGTGAATTCCCAGCCCTCTTTTTACTTTATATATTGAGATTGGGTCTGAGTTGCCCAAGCTGGCGTTGATTCTCCTCTGTAGCCCAGGATGGCCTGCACTTGAGATCCCTTCCTCATCCTCCCGGTAGCTGAGGTTACAGACATGCAGCACCAGTGCCATCTTATCTACCAACTCTTGCTTAGCTGCCCAGCCCCTGCCTCACAGCCCCAGGTCCTCTCTACTGCACACAGGAAGAAGGGCCCAAGGGTCATCTTCCTGTAGGGGCCAGGGTTGGGGCTGGGGTTTGCCTTAGAGACAGGCTTCCAAGGCAATTGGGGAGGGTGACAGATGACTGTCATCTGAAAGCAGGGACCAGCATGGCAACAAGGCGAGTCCTGAGATCTGCCTGCTGCATGTGGGCGGTGGTGGGGAACTGGAGGAAATAGTCTAAAGGGTAGAAGAGTTTGGAACAATGGCTGATCCAGGCTGGTGGAGATGGACAAGATGGGCAGGCTCAGGAGACTCTCAGCCAAGCCTTGAAGCACGATGAACTTGATTGGGGAGGGACAAACAGCCTTGGGGTGTATGGACACTCTCTGAATGATTCCTATGTGTGCAGGGAAGGCCCCCAGCTCCATTGACACATGGCCCGGTCGGCGGAGTGGCTGTATGATTGTCATAACTTCCATCCTGTCTGCGCTGGCTGGTCTCTTGCTCCTGGCTTTCCTGGCAGCCTCCACTGTGCGATTGTGAGTGATGACACCCTGAGGGCACCTTTTCCACTTGGAACCCCTCCCTGTCCCGGTGATCTCTAGATCCCACAAACCTCTCATGAATACAGGGTTGCTGAGCTGGCTGATGTTCTTCCAACCAGGTGGAGAGAATTTCTGCTCTGCCTGTTACCTAGGTGACAGGGTCCAGGGGGATGTGCCTTCTGCCGGGCCTCTTCCCTTGGCCTTTATCTTTTCTCCGTGAGACCCTGGAGTGTTTTGGTAACTGCCACTGGGGTAGATAGTAAGAATAGCTACCTGGAGGAGGTATGTCTCCAGCTGGCTCCGAAACAGAGGGAAGAGAGACCAGGGAGATGGTTTAGTAAGTGTAGGGTTCACTGCTCCAACAAGAACCCAAGTTCAGAGCCCCAGCACCCACATAAAATCCGGATGTGTTTGTGTGTGTCTGTAACCCAACCCAGTGGGAAGTGGCTCCCTAGAATCTGTGCCAGCCAGTCTTTAAGGGTTTCAGGTAAAGACCCTGTCTTAAAAAGACAAAGTTGTCAGGATGGCTCAGTGGGTAAAGTCACTTGCCACCAAGCCTAATGGCCTGAGTTTGATCTCTGCAACCCACATGATGGCAGGACTGAACTGACTCCTGAATGTTGTTCTCTGACCCCCCCACACACACACCGTAGCATGTGCAACCCTAACAGACAAAATTAAAAAAAAAAAAAAAAGATCAGGATAGGCTCCAAAGCTACACAGAGAAACCCTGTCTCGAAAAACC